TTTTTTTTTTGAGTTGGAGTCTCACTCTGTCACCCAGACTGGAATGCAGTGGCACGCTCCCAGACACTGCAACCTCGACTTGTTGGGCTCCGGTGATTCTTCAGTCTCAGCCTTCCAAGTAGCCAGAACTACAGGTGCACACTACCACACCCCCCTAATTTTTGATTTATTTTAGAGAGGAGTTCTTGCCAAGTTGCCCGGGTGGGTCTCGAACCCGCAGACTCAGGCAATCCACTCACCTTGGGCTCCCAAAGTGCTGGAATTACAGGCTGAGCCGCCGAGCCCGGCCAATTTCTACAGCTTTATAATAAGTTTTGAAACAGAAATGTGAGGCCTCTAACTTTGCCCCTTTTCATTTCAAGTCTGAGTTTTTAACCACTTTATTATGCTAACAATTAAAAACAGCGCCACTGATCATCAGTGGTTTTGTGTAGTGTATGAAGTCAGTGTATGAATCCAAGAGCTAAAGTAAGACTGGATTTTCTCTTTTATTTCAGCCCTCAGTCACCTCCCTTTTTTGTTTTTAATATTGTTCATTGGGCTGGGCACTGTGGCTCAAGCCTGTAATCCCAGCTCTTTAGGAGGCCGAGGTTAGAGAATTGCCTGAGTCCAGGGGTTCAAGACCAACCTGGGCAACTTGGTAAGACCTCATCTCTACAACAAATTTTTTTAAAATTAACCAGGCGTGGTGACACATGCCTGTAGTTCCAGCTACTTGGAAAGCTGAGATGGAAGGATCGCCTGAGCCCAGCAGGTCGAGGCTGCGGTAGCTGTGAGCATGCCACTGCACTCCAGCCTGGGTGACAGAGTGAGACTCCAACCCTCCCCAAAAAACTGTTTATTAGCACAGTAACAAACGTAGACTTAAATAATCCACAACATATAACCAATCCACTGAGCAACTCCTGTTCCACACCATACAGTTATCAGCTTAAGGTATTTCACTGCAGGTTTTCACAAGACCTGATTCAAACCTTTAATCTTTTAACAATAAAGTAGATTGGCGTATAAAATAAATTACTTATTTCCTATATGGTGTTTTATACCCATGTGTCCATTTTATATGTATGAGATGACAGTTTCTAAAAACTCTGTTAAATATCAATGCTCCCTAGCCAGGCTCGGTGGCTCAGCCTGTAATCCCATGCTTTGGGAGGCTGAGGTGAGTGGATTGCCTGAGCCCACGGGTTCAAGACCCGG